TTGCAGCAAAGCCAGGGCCGGACAGGGGGGGGGCAGCCGCAGGGGCCAGGGAGGGCTTTCCCTGCCAGGGGCTCTCGGACCGAGATGCCGGCCCCTGGGAACCACGGTCAGCATTCCCGCCTGCGGCTGCGACCGCGAGGGCCTGGGAGAGGAGAGCACGCGAGCCTCGCGTGGCCCGACTGCCCTGCCTCGCTGCACGTCCAGAGGCCACGGTCGCCTGCGCTTAGAGAGAAGGAGCAGGGAGAGCCGGGGGCGTTCTAGCTGTCAGAGGCCACCTTGGAGGTGGCACTTCCGCTGACTGTCCGGGAGAAACACCACCAATTCTCGTCTCTCTGAAGAGCCCGGAGCCGGACACATGTCCACAGGTGTGTGCCGAGCCCAGCTGCCCGTCTGCAACTCAGCTCTCCCAGGCTCGCGGTCCTGCCGGGAGTGCCCGGGCCAGCAGCAGGTGCTCACCTGCCACCACAGAACTGATGTCCCCCACGCTCTCGTCGCTGACAGCCACCAGATCCTCCAGCACGCTGACCTGCCTGGAGAGCTTCTCCAGGAGACTCCGGGACACAAAGGGGGCTCTGCTCGAGAAGACGACTTGCTGAGAAGCCAGACCGGCCACCGCGTCACTCCGGGCAGCGGGGCGAGCTCCCTCCTCCATTCTCCTTTTGGGATTTTGGGCACGCGCACACATGCACTGGTGTGAGTTTTAAGCCGCTGGGTCTGGGGTCGGACCGCGGTCGACAACCTGGCAGCCCAGCAACCCCACCACTGTGCCACATGCCGGCTCCCTGAGTTTTCTTTTTTTAAAGATTTTTGCCATGAGGTCCACGTGCGCTCACACCTGTGTGTGTGCGTGAGCAAGAGAGAGACACTGAGCGGGGAAGTGAGAAGTCACGCCCTTGGGGATGGCCACGCCGCAGTCCCGTCTCCTCCAATCTCCTCTCAGGATTTTGGGCACGCCAGCGCATGTGCCCGGCGTGAGTTTAAGCTGCCAGATCTGAGAGGCGAACCGCCGTCCCCGTGTAGGAGTCAGAGCCTTCACCACCACCACCACCTGCTGGCCCCCACCCAAGTGTAGTCATTTTTCGCAGCGTGGCTTTATTCTCTTTTTTGAGAGGAGCTTGAGAGCAGGCGGCATGACTAACCCCGGGCAGTCGGAGATCCGAACTGCGAACACATGCTCACAGCGTACCCAGTGCCGGTCTGTGCCCGAGGCACGTGTTAGCTCACGCCATTTCTCACGGCCACCCCTTGAGGTGGGTCTTCTTACCCCCCTTTCCACTGGGGAAGAATGTGAGGCTCAGAGGATAAGAACCCGCCTGAGGAACCTGCAGAGGTAGAGGTTACGTCACTGGACTCCCTCATCGTCAGCCGCGATTCTAGTCCCAGACCCAGTGGCTTAAAACTGGTGCCGAGAGCGTGCGCATGCATGCCCCAAATCCCAGGAGAACGGAGGAGGCCATGCAGCGAGGCCACCCCCCTTCTCTCAAGGAGGCCGGAGAGAGGGGAGGGTGCAGGCCCATGCTGCCCGGCGCTGCTGCTCTGAGCCCGCCTGGCCACCTGCCACCTGGCAATGTAGGTCACACCTGCCCGGGACCAGGCTGTGTGGGCTAATGCACTCGGGCCCTGCAGCTGATCGGCTTTCCAAACTCAGAGGCCCAGGGAGCTACGGGCGTCTGGTCTGTACAGTAACCCTGTTCCGGCCGCTGCCCGCTGAGGTCGGGGAGCGGGCTCGAGGAGAAGACCCAGGGCGAGGAAGAGTGTTTGACGCGGCTCCCGTCTAAGCAGGGCCGTTCTCCAGGTGCGTCCTCACGTCCCTAGCACAGCTAAGACCCGAACTTCCTCCCCGGGGCTCAGGACGGGCCCCACCTGGACCAGCTGCGTGCAGTACTGCAGGTGCCTGGCGATGGCGATGTCGAGGCTCTCGCTGCCGGTGGTCAGCGGGAGAGGGCAGCCCGCCACGCTGGTCCCGACTCCCGTGTCTTCGGTCAGTGCTTCACTGAGGTGCCCCCTGGCTTCCGGGTGGACTGCCCTGTAACTGCAGACGCGGGAAGGTGGGCGGGGCCCTGGCTGTGCAGCGGAAACCCGGGGCCCCCAGCAGCACCCACGGGAGTCTTCCCGCCCCTGACTAAAAAGAGAGACTTTCAAAACCCTCTTAGTTCAGCCCGCTTGCCCGTCTGCCCGGGGCCGAAGACCACGCAGACGAGTGCCTTCCTGAGTGCTCTGCCTCTCCAGCGCAGCGACCATTTATTAGGTCATGGCACGAGGAGTCGCGGAAGGGCCTTCGTTTGTCAGGGTGCACTCGCACGCTCAGGGGCGGGGAGCGTGGCCGCGTTTCCTGGGATCGACTGTCCTTGGGTTTGCGGCTTCCCCAGAGCGATGCCACTCAGGAACACCGCCCGGCCTGTCCCAGGCCCAGACCAGCCTCCACTTGAAGGGAGGGGGAAGGAAGGCTGCCGGGAGGGAGGTGCGCAGCTCTGCTCCGACGAGGGCTGGCAGGGCGCGTGGCTACATGGGGCACCGAGCAGATTGGAGCCACACGTGGTGGGCACGTGCAGTGAAACCCTGCAGGGCATCCAGGATCCGAGTGTTCCTAAGGTGGCCCTGTGTGGGGGAGCAGCCCCTGGTAACTCGGGGGGCTGGAGACCGACCTGGAGCACTGGCTGCTAGTCAGCCGCGGCCCCCACGGCCACAGCTTGGGAAGGTCATGCACCAGAGCCTGGAGGCCTTGAGGGGGTGCACTGGAATTTCCCTCTGCCCTGGGGAAGACGCCCCACTGTGTCCCAGCGTCAGCACTACACACACACACATGCACACACATGCACACACACACACACATGCACATGCACGCACACACGCACACGCACGCACACACACATGCACACTTTCCCACAGTCTCTTCCCCATTTCTCCTCTGGAGAGTTTGGACATGCATGCACATGTATCTGTTGTGTTTCTCAAGCCACTGGGTTTGGGACTTGAACCATGCCTTTAGCCATGTGGGATCCCCCCGCCTTAACCAGCAGGCCGCAGTGTGGCCCTTCCCTGTATTTATAAGAAGGACAGTTATTTCCCTTATAAGGCCCCAGAGAGGGCCACATTTCCAGGCTGTGCTTGACGGCAAGAGGGTCCGTAAGCCAGCTCTTCTCTCAGAAGACGCTCGTCTGCTGAAGTTTGCTGTCCCCTCGGGCGGGGACAGAGAACAGCCAGAGCAGCTAGGACAGGAGCCCTCGAAGCAGATACTAGCTCTGGACTTACCTGTTTTTCTCAGTCTCAGTGTCCGAAAAGACAGAGTCGGCCCCTCCTCCAACGGCACAAACCTCCTCTCCGTCCTCCTCCTCGTCGAAATCGGAGGTGTTCAGGAAGTCGAAGCTTTCTAGCGCACTCTCGACCGTGACGCTGAGACTGGAGGCCCTGCTGCGGCTGGCTGCCGGCTTGCACTGCGGAGGGAGAAGGCACCACGGAGGCTGTCACCACACCCCAGGAGGGGACGCACGGCGCATGTTCGAGACGCAACACCTCTGGATTTTCCAAGCTTTTATTGTTGCATGAGCGTTGTAAAAATGCATTTAAAAATCTGTGTTCCAAAGTACAACCGTGGGTAAAGTGGCACATCGGGCTCTGTCCCATACAGTCCGGAGGGAGGCGAGCCGGGGAGCGTGGACGGGCACGGATGGCGGGAGCTGGCCACTGAGGGAGGTGGGGACCAGCTCAGGGGACTTCTTATACTCGGCTTGAAATTTTTATAGCAAAAAACTATAAAGAGAGGATGACCAGAAGGCCCTGAGGATTGCAGCTGCCAGGTGCTCGACCCAGATATGGCAGCCAACGATGCGGAGCGGGAGCCAGGCTGGCCGCTAACAACCACTCCTCCAAGCAGCCGTGTCTTCTGTGTCCTGGGACGAGAGCTAGCTGTCTAGAGGACCAACCAGGCAAATCCCAGAAACCAAACTGCTCAAATAGGCCTTGTCTACACCTGCCAGGAAGAAGCCCGACCCCTGGAGGTGACGCGCACAGCTCACAACGCAATGCTGGACGTCCCTGCACTGAGGAGAACACAGACAGCGAGGCGTGGCCTGCACCCCAGCCCCGAGCTCTGCCTTCAAAGGCGTGAGTCCCACCAGTTCCCTGGCCAGGCCTGCACCTAGGGCACAAACCGGGCCAGGGCCGAGAGGTGCTTCGCTGCTGGACGCAGCCACAGGAGTCACAAACAACCAGGCCAGGGCCCGTAGGCACAGGGAGAGCGCTTCCAATGTCCGCGAGGAGCCGGGGTGGGCGGGACCGGAGCAGAACGCCCTGTCCCTGTCCTGGGAGGAGCCTGGGTGGGCAGGACGGGAGCGGGACACCCTGTCCCCGTCCAGGGAGGAGCCGGGGTGGACAGAATGGGTGCCCTCTCCCCGTCCAGTGAGAGGCGGGCCTTGCTGGTTTCCTAGCACAAGGCTGGCAGGCCGTGTGGGGACCTGTCCGACCCCGTGGTGGCACAGGAGCACAGGGGACACGTCTCTCGGTCTTTTACATCCCAGGTGTCTCCATCGCCCTCGGCAGTCTCCGTCCGAGACGCAGCTTCATTTAGTCTCTGCTCCTCAAGATGTGTGGGCGTCCTGGGGGTGAAGGGGACACAGCTCTGTGCAGCATGCCTTTACCCCAGCCGGCAAAGCAGTTCCAGACTGGAACTACTCAGGGTCGGTCTTGGCGGGAAAGGGCACCAGCAGGGACGTGGCCCCCGCCTAGGCTCTCCCTGTGCCAGCTCTGCAGGGCCCTGGCCTGGCTCTCCCTGGGCTCTCCCTGCACTAGCTCTGCAGGGCCCTGGCCTGGCTCTCCCTGCACTCTCCCTGTGCTAGCTCTGCAGGGCCCTGGCCTGGCTCTCCCTGCACTCTCCCTGTGCTAGCTCTGCAGGGCCCTGGCCTGGCTCTCCCTGCACTCTCCCTGTGCTAGCTCTGCAGGGTCCTGGCCTGGCTCTCCCTGGGCTCTCCCTGCACTAGCTCTGCAGGGCCCTCGCCTGGCTCTACCTGCACTAGCTCTGCAGGGCCCTGGTCTGGCTCTCCCTGTGCTCTCCCTGCGCTAGCTCTGCAGGGCCCTGGCCTGGCTCTCCCCACGCTCTCCCTGCGCTAGCTCGGGGACAGCATGAACTGACTGGATAGATGTGCTTCCATGCGGCCACACGGAGACGGGGCGGCTGAGGGTTTAGGACAGCAGACAGGACTGCTGCTCTGGAGAGAGTGTGACCCCAGGTCTTGATGACTCACGCACCCCGAGGTTCCTGGGGACTGAGCACCTGACGTGCCTGCCGGGCGGCTGGGAAGGCGGCTGTGGTGGCCACTGGCTTCCTGTCAGGCATTTGCTGAGGCAGGGCCAGCATGCGTCTGGAGCTGTCTAGCCCACGGCTGGTCACGTGTGGGAGAGGGGCTGCGTGAGGGCCAGAACCTCCTTGCGGCGGCCCGGAGCCCGCTGTGAGCCCTGCCTGCTGCTCACAGGCCACCCGTGCGGGGCTCACGGGCCATCGGAGCCTGAGCCATCAGCTGCCTGGGACACAAGTGCCTGCCAGGCCAGGCTGCCCTGCATGTTGGCACCAAGAGGGAGAAGGTGGTCAGAAAAGCCTTGGAAGTGTCCCAGACACCACTCGGGGAGGGGGCTCATCTTAGAACAGTCACAGGAAAGGACACGAGAGCCTCCGGTGGGCAGGAGGGCAGCCTGCCGCCAGGACCTCGCCTCTGGGCTGCACTACAACGCAGGCCCACGCAGGCGCCCGTGACAGCTCCGCGTGTCTTCTCCACGGCAGCACGCAGCACGCGAAGGGGCAGAGCGGTGTGGGGCCAGGGCTCACAGCCTCGGATCCGAGTGCCGGGTGGAGACAGAGCCCGTCTATGGGCTCTGTCTAGTGTCCTCGCGAGCGAGAGCTCAGGCCTCACCCTCTGCCCTCAGCTCCCGCTCTGGGCTGAGGGCACCGTCTCTGGAGGAGCCTGGGGTCCTCGTCTTCTAGAGCTCAACTGACGATGAGCCGGGAGGAAGGAGCCCTCTGCAGCAGCTCAGTGGGGACAGGGCCCTGGTTCTCTGGCTGGGAACAGCCACCTCCCTCCCGCCAACCCGGGAAGGGGCTGCGTCCCCCGGTGTCCTCAGAGGGACTCCAGGGAGGTCCGTGTGACAAGGCTGCCCCCTGCACCCCTGGCACTGGGCGGTGGTTCCTAACCTGGCCCCTGCTCGGGATGAGAAGGGTGACCACGCTGCCGGCCTCGCCCATCAAGACCATTTAAGAGACGAGTGCCCCTGCCGGGACTTCACCCAGGGGACCGTCACCAGAAACTGGTCCGGGACACCGGCTGTAAGCCTGGCACCGCCTCTCGGAACAGGTACTCACTTTCAGAATGTCGTCCAGGCGGGCCACCTGGCGGCCCAGCTCCCGGAAGGCCCGGTACTGCTCCTTGTGTGGCTCGAGCGCCAGCAGCAGCCCGCTGAGCGCGTCCTCCAGGCTGCCGTCCGGGAAGTGCCTGCCGCCCTCGCCGTCCACGTCGGTGCTGGCCGGGCCCTCCCAGGGAGGCTGCTCCGGGGCCCAGGGCTCACCAGCCGCGGTACCAGCTGCTTGGTGAGGCTCCCCTCCAGGGTGTCCAGCTCCACCGGCTTCAGCTCCGAGGCCTCGTCCGACTCCTGCAGGAGCGCCCCGGCCACCTGGTCCTCCAGGAACAGGCGCTCGGGGCCCGTCGACGGGGGCTGCGGCTCGGAGACTTCCCCGGTGCAGCTGTCGACACAGAGCTCGAGTCCTCCAGGCCCGCATGCAGGGAGCTCGGGCAGCCGTGGGCACACTCTGCGGGCGTGACGGTGATCCCTGGGCGTGTGCCGGGGGCAGAGGGCCCGGGGCTGGGCGTGCAGTCCCCGTTGGGGAGGTCGCTGAAGCTGAGCGACAGTGGCTCCTTCTCCCCCGCCTTGCTGTTGTCGAAAATGTCATCGGGCAGATCCGCCTGTGGACAGAAGGCGCCCGTTACTACGGCCCGTGCCGACCGGGCGTGCACACGGCCTGTTCCCAGACGAGGCGGACTAAACAGAGCCCCAGGGTTTCCTGTGAGCGTTTCGTCTGCCGCTTCGCTGCACGGGCAGGGCGGCCGTGAGGGTCGTCCACACGGAGTCCTAGGGAGGGTCCCAGGGCCTGCAGCAATGGGCCAGTTTTCAAGTGAGAAGCTCAGGGGCGCTGCCTTTCTGAGCCACAGGACCCTGCCATGTGAGGGCCGGCACTGCCGACTCTCTCGTTCCTGTGGGCCTCTGTCTTACGACTTCCGAACCGTCCCGCCATTTCGCTGAAGACCGTCTGCTCCCTCTGCTCAGGGAGTGACCCCCAGCTGTCAGGCTCTGGGTCACACGCCATGGAGCGCAGGGCCAGCCTCACACGGCACAGCATCTCAGAGACAGGAGAGCAAGCCGGGCGTGCCGGTGCCTACCCTGCAGCCACCGCGGGGCCGGTGTGGAGCCACACTGCCCTCCGTGGCGTGGACCCGCCCTGGCTCACGGCTGCCCGGAGCAGAACCCAGGGGTCCAGGAGCATCCAGGGGCCATGGTGGCTACCGCGTGTACACAGTGCGACAGTCCCTAAGGGGCCTTCTTTGCCCTGAGGCCGGGGGACGGTGTCCAAGTGCCAGAGGTCGCTCTGTGGACAGTGTTTTCTAGGTACTTTGAAATGGCCCATGTTCCCTGGAGTCCAGATTCGGTTTTTAAAGCAAGCAGGAAGTCTTGTCTACTGCCAGTAGCGGTCCTGCACTGTAAGTGAAGGCCACGTCTCAGGGTGCTGGGACGGGTCAGCAAGCAAAGCTGTCACAGCGCGGACAGGGGCGGAGGAGAGACCGGGCCCCTGCACGTCCCTGGTGTGCCCGGGTCCCACTGCTGCTGGTCTGAGGCCGCCAGGTCTCAGCGTGGGTGGTCAGCTCGACCCACTGTCCAGCCTAGTCTGACTGGAGGGTGACTTCTTCAGCCATGAGATGGGTACAAGGACACATTGTTGCCACCTACGTCCTTCCACAGACCCGCCTTACCCCAGAACTGGGGATGCCCCCCTCTCTCAGCGATTACTGAACCGGCGCCTGAGTCCTGGGGGGGTGGTGGTGGCCACGGGGGTGCCCTTCCAGGGAGTTCTCGGTCCACTCTGACCCACTCCGCAGCCCCTGCACCTGGGCCTCCAGGACAGCCATAGGAGGAGCACTGGGGAGGACCGGGGGCGGCCTGGCGTGCTGCCCTGCCTCCCGTGGGCCCCCGCAGCCCCTCAGGACAGGAGGGTGTGCACGGCCGCAGTTCGCTGTGCCAGCTGCTCCCACGCCGTTTCCCACACGCCCTCCCCATTCTCCTCTGGACGCCACTGGAGTCCTGCTGCCCGCTCAGGAGTGTCTAGTTTGGTGGACGCGATTGCTAGACTGTGACCCCGTGACTTGTCGTCCCTCCTTGGGCCAGAAGATGACTGTTAGATGTCAGAGAACACGCCTCGTATGCATGTGTTCTGACCGCGATATCATGCCAGAGGGCGCCCTCTGTACTCCCGACCGAGGACAGACGCACCAGAGAACTGAGACGCTGGACGGACCAGGCCAGGAGACCAGCCTGAGCCCTGAGTCCCTGGAAGGCCGGCCTCTGCAGGCAGCCGCAGGGACTGCTGGGTCACCGGGAGAAGGTCTTCCTGAGCCCAGCTCTGAAACGTGCAAACCTGTGACCACGGAGAGCTCGCCACAGCGGGAGAGACAGCGCTGGGCAGGGCTCGTCATGGGGAGGACGGCCACCTCTAATGGAGCTGTGTGCATGGGGGAGGCTCCCACTGGAGGCTCGGGCAGGTTCTGCCCACGCCAGTGAGCAAGACCTGGAGGGTGGAGCATGGGGCATGCGTGAGCAAGGCCAAGGGGGGTAAAACAGGGGCGTGCGTGAGCAAGACTGAGGGGAGAAAACGGGGACACACGCGTGCAAGACCGAGCAGGGAGAAGCGTGGGGCGTGCGTGGGCAAGACCGAGGGGGTAAAACGGGACATGCATATCCAACATGCTGCGTGCTCCCGAGGTCAAGCACCGCACACCCGCGGCCACACTCACAGGGGGCCCCCGCACGGCCTGGGGGCTCAGCCCGAGGGAGGGCAGGTCGCTGGCAGGGCGGCCGTGCAGCTTGGCAAAGACAGTGTCTCGCAAGGCACTGAAGGCAGACAGCCGAGGCTCGTCTGGGGAGGGACGCAGCCACCTCTTCAGAAGTCAAGGTGAGACGGGTGTTAGCGGGGAGACACGGGACCCTGCTTCCCTCACAGGCGTTACACGCCCTTCTGCACGAGGCTCGCCCCGGAGAACGTCCCCGAGCTTACACGTTGCCGTCACAGCAACCAGCAAAGCGGGCATGAGAGAGGCGGCAGGAGGCCACCCCAGACGCAAGCCGCACGGTGCCCTGGAGGTGGCTTCAGGGCACCAGGTGGTCGGGCGAACCCTGACTGCCCTGTGAGGAGGCGCTACTGTGTCCCATGCCCTGTTAAGCACGTTGGATCCCCAGTGCCCCGGCCCAGGCCTCACAGCCACTCCAGCTGTCACGCGGGACTTACGAAGAAGGCGTGGTCCTTGGCAGTCGGCGTCTCTGGGGTGCCCTGGCTGTATAGGGACATCCTCCTCTGCAGGGCGGCCGCCTTGGCCCCAGTGCCCGAGGACGGGGTCGTGTCCTCTACGTCGAAGGGGCTGGGAGAGAATAAGACGCCGTGTGGGCACCTTTCGCCCGTCGCCCAGGACCACCCACTGCAGGCCACGAGGCCACCACGCCAGGGCGCCAGGCCAGTTTGCTAAAATGGTTTGACGTAAAAAAAGCCAGAAGAAGGCAGAGCAGGAAACCGAGTCCAGACGACGCACCCTAGAGAGCACAGACTCCGGCTTTGAACACGGCTTATCCGTGCCGGGCACCGTGCTCCTTCGTCAGTCCTGGAGTGTAAGCACGTGTAACGGCCTGCCTCATAGACAGAGAGGTGGAGAAGAGTCTAAAGATTCCTCGGGGGACTAGCGGTTGCTGTAATGGCTATGTCGCTGGACTCCCATGAAGCTGACCGCAGTTCGAGCCCCGGACCCAGTGGCTTAAACTGACGCCGGGCGTGTGTGTGGGCCCAAGATCCCGAGAGGAGAAAGGAGAAGAAGGGATTGTGGCATGGTCATCCCCTCTGGGGGATGATTTCTTGCTCTCTGTCTCTGTCTTTCTAGCGAGCTCATGTGCCCTATCGCAAAAACCTCTTTAAAAAAGATTCTTTGAGCTTGTGGGGCCAGCGGGTGGCGTGGTGGTTAAGACACTGGACTCCCACATGGCTGACTGTGGTTCGAGTCCCAGACCTGGCAGCTTGAAACTCATGCCAGGCGTGTGTGCGTGCCCAGAACCCTGGCGAGAGAATGGAGGAGGAGGGACCGCGGTGTGGCCATCCCCTGCGGGTGGGGAGGGTGATCTCTCACTTCCCTCCGTCTTCTGGCGTGTGCCCTATGGCAAAAACCGCAAAAGAAATTTTTTTCAGCTTTAGAGGGCTAGACCCCTTAACTGTATAGGAGAGGAATGGGTTATTGTGGGGCCGGCAGGTGGTACAAGGCTGACATTCCTGGACGCCCACGTAGCTCACTGCAGTTTGAATCCCAGACCTGGCAGCTTACGCCTCATGCCAGGTGAGTGTGCGCATGCCTAAAATCGCGAGAGGAGGATGGAGAAGGAGTTATGGTGTGGCCACGCCTCCTGGGGGGTGAGTTCTCGCTTTCTGTCTCCCATGAGTGCATGTGCCCTGGAGCAAAAACCTCTCAAAAAAAAAAAAAAAAAAAAGAGGAGAGAGAGAGAGTAAGGGATTGTGATTCAGCTCTGAAGACGGCCCCGGGAGCAGAGCCCCGCTCGCTGTGCTGACACTGAGCCTCCCGCGTCTCTTGTGGGCTCCCAGCTCCCCACGGGCGGCCTGGCGGTGGCCCGCCCCCAACTTACTACCAGGTGATCTCCAGGTTCAGCTTGACGGTGCCCAAGTCGTTGATGTCCACGGCCACCGCCTGGGGCCGGGCTGCGAACAGGTCTTTGGTCTCGCAGGTCACGCTCCCCACCAGGGTGTGCGCCGCCAGCCCTTTGAGCTCCGTGACCTGGGGGAGAGGGGAGCGGGCGTGGGGCTCCGTCTCTGCTCGCCCCTTAGCCACGGCCACTGTTCTCAGTCTGGACGCAGAGCCGGGTGTTTCGGTAACCTCACCTCGACGCTGCCCGCCGGCCCGCAGGGCGGCAGCAGGGGCGGGGGCAGCCACCACTGGACCATCCAGCGTGGGCCGGGAAGGGGGACCACGGGCAGCCACAGACCCTACCTTGATGGAAATGAGCCCGACGATCAGGGGCAGGAAAACCGTCTCCTCCCCATCCCAGCTCTGCCTGCCGTTCGCTTCCATCTTGCCCTTCAGTCTCCACCGCTGTCGGCCATACTTCATGAAGACCTGGGGACAGGACGCCAGAGGCTGCGTGTCCCCACCGCCCTCCCAGGGACTCCAAGACCGAAGGACCCGGGCAGGAAGCAGGGCCTTCCCCCTCCCCGCCACCATGCCCACACAGCCCAGCTTGGTCCTCGGCAGAGCCGCGGGTGGGCGAGGGCAGGCTGACGGGGACGTGCTCCTCACCAGGGAAGAGGCGGGGCACCCCAGTGTCACTGTCACATCCGCACCGCAGACGTGTGTCGTGTCTGGTGCTGGGCAGACAGGCCCTCCACCTCCCCACCCGCCCTGATGCCCTCGGAGGGACGGGACACTGGCTGTCAGAAGCAGGAGTGCAGACGTCCCCTCTGCCCGAGGCGGCGGGGCTGGCAGGGCTCAGCAAGCCCAGGGGTGTGGCCTCTCCTGGCCGGGCTCTAAGGCCTGGGAGGCGGCCCCTCTTCCCCCAAGGATGGGACAGTTGGGTAAACTGATTCCGAGAGCTCCCTCTTGAAGTGGGAACAGATAGCAGGGTTTAGAACGAGCTAGGCGCTTCCACCCTTCAGCTGTGATCCCAGATCGGATCTCGGGTCAGCAG